TTTTGATATCCTTCATATTCTGTGTACTGGTCAGTTCACAGCAGTGATAGAAATTAATCTGTTCCAAGAAATTTTAATTGATTTTTACATTTTATGGGCATCTTTACCTTGATAAAGCCTTTATATATATATATATTAACCAATATTAATTATTAATAACCAATATTCATAATTGAGCACCAATAATATATTATAATAATAAATGAGCAGCAAATCATTATTAGAATGAGAATGATTAGAATGATTTCTGAAGGATCATGTGACTCTTTTGTTGAATTTTCTTCTTTTTTGGACAGCTTACATAAGCATGATTTTATGAATGAACTTTATTAATGCTATATTTATATTTTGTCTTTCCACATCGGTGCAGACCATCTGTCAGAAGACCCCTAAAGAGACGGCTGAATACTTTGCTGCCTGTTGGGCTTTTAAAGCTATCAGTAAGGTATGACGCTACTCACTCTACATTAACTAGGGATGTGTAAAACAACACCTTTCAAAACTAGTTGATCTGGTTGTCTGGAGCGTTACTCGATGAGTAGGTTGGTTTCTGCAAGATAAATAATGAAAGTGTTTTGTGGCACGCAACTATTGTTGTTTAACAAAATCTCAGAGGTTAAGGAATGACATATTCTTTTGTAGAAGCCACAACTTGCTTATATTCCCATAGATGATGAATTTGCCTCAAATATGACTGTGCTCTTGAATGTTTTAGTAGCACAAACTCTGGGCTGCGCTGAAGCAGCTTTTCACAGCTGATCTGAATGCTGTTTTTTTCTCCTGTCAGCTGGTGAAGCACTGTAATGATGGAGCGCGGAGGATGGAGCGGACGGAGCAGATGTACACCATCCAGAAACAGATGGAGTTCGGCAAAATCAAGGTACATGTTTAGGCAGGTTAGGTTACTTTTAAAAGAGACACATTTAAAGCAAGCAATTCACATTTCTGACCCAGATGAGGGCTGGTTTTTAAGTATTTTTCCATAAGAAAAGAAAATAATACATTTACTGTGGACGGATTAGTTATTAAATTAAATAGTGAATAAATTAGTTTACTCATCTGTAATTGATTGGCTCAACAGGTTTTTAGAGTCACATCAAGACACCTTTATCTCTATAGCACTTTAATAATACAGACTGCCAAAACCACAGGAACATAACAGAATCAATTATGGAAATTCATAGGGCTGCACGATAAATCGTATTTCTATCGTGATCACGATTTCTGCTACAACCATAATCATCTGTGAGATTTCACCGCTGGTTATTTATCCTGAAAATGTTTCATTTTCATTTGGCATTAGCATTGCATTGGTAACAACAATCTCAGAATAAAAGGTACAAAAGCTGTCACTGGGGCCGTACCTTTTCAAAAAGGTACAACTTTGTACCTAAAAGGTACATATTAGCACCTAAAAGGAAGAAAAGTGTTCCTTTTGCAGTTTTATTTTTCAACTGTTCACACACAAAATCTTTACTTGTCACACAATTTCTGAAAGCTGACACTCAAACAGCAGAACCACACACCAAATCTGCAAAACCACAGACGTTTTATTGGCCTTTGACTCCGTTTTCAATTGCATAAAACCCTTTTTGCAAAACACAACACACAATTCTCTATGTAACACAAAAAAATCTAACAGGAATTAATATTATGGCAAAGCAGGGGCGGTTCTGGGGGGAGTGGGGGGTTTGGCCCCCCTAAATTTGGAATCATATCACACCAAACAATTTTGGGTGAAATGCAGTTTGTCCTGTAAACTATAAAAAAGAAAAACATCCACAGCTGTTAATTTTAAATCTGCATTCTCTGGCTGGCACAGAGCCAGAGACATACACGTTTTTACAGCGCTGCGCATTATAACCAATCACAAACGATTCTGTTGAGCTTATGAATGCAAGGACCAATCAGAGGCGTTCAGATGAGTCATCACTGAAACACACTGTTTTGTTCACCGCGCGCTCTGGCTGACTGATGTACGAATGTAAGTAGGATATTAATTTCACACTGTAAACAGCTTTAGAGATTATTATGGGAGTTTTTGAGAGTGCTTAAACTTGCTAGACTGAAGTGAAAATGTTCTTTGATAATGTAAACATTCTTTGCTCTCTTTCTGTACAATGAAAGGCTAATTAGTAACTTGCAATGTTTTTATTAAATTCACATTAAATACAAAGTCAGTCGTATTAAAAATAGTTGATGGTATGACACCCATATCTGGTATACTTAAGTAAAAAGACAGATTTTCATGCAAAGTTAATAGATTACACTATTAGGCTACTTTGCCCATCGCGAATTATAGATTAACAAACATAATCTATAAAGGTGAAAAATGCATTTACTTACACATATTTGAGAATCGAGATATTTCATGATATATGTTGGGAATATTTCGAATAAAAATAAAATAATTAATAAAACATAAGCCTATATTAGTTATACAGTGGTATTGTGGCTGCTGTGTCACATGACAAGCATGAGAGCCCCCCCTTCACTCGAGCCCCCTCAAAAATAATGAGTGCATGATGCCCCTGACAAAATTATGCGTCAAATAAATGAAACATGATGAAACATTCATTTTAGTTGAAATTGTTATATAGTTCTAGGGATCGCAGTAATACACATGGTGAAAAATGACTGAATGAATAATACTGAAAGTAGGTTAAGATGAAATTTAAAAGCACAAGTGGCCCCTGTCCGGCCCCCAGTTACTGTGGTCTAGAACCTATGGCAAAGGTGTTTGCAAATGTTTGCTTTTGAGACGCGTTTGTCATATTTTGAATGCAGTGCTTCGTTTTGCAAGAGATGTGAGGCATTTTGCATTTTGTGTGTGCAATTCTTGGATTTGTGTGTAAAGTTTTGAAAAAAAGAGGCTCTTCAAGCTTTCATGGTTGCCAGATGTCAAGAGTTCAGATGAAGAATAAGAGTGAGATCAGCTGAAAAAAGGAAAGTCATTTCAGAAGCAAGATATTTTAATAGATGATTGCAAAGAAAAACAGAAAAGACCAGGGACATGTTATGATCGAAAGGATCGTTTCTCAACTTTTTCTATTAGTATCTAAATACTTGTTTATGTATGTTTGTAGCCTTTCCCATTAGTGTCGTCATCCCGCTGGCTGAAGAAGAGCGGTGAGCTGGCGGTGTACACGGATGATCTCAGCATTTTCAGGAAAGCGATCAGCATTAAGAGCTACTATCTGTTCCTCTTCAATGATGTGCTCATCGTCACCAAGAAAAAGAGGTCAGACCTGTGATGCTGCGCGGTCTCGGACCACACAGCAGCTGTATTCAGCGTCCACAGCACTGCTCATGAATGCCTGATCCTGACTGAATGACAAACCATAGCTTTAATTCCTGCTAGCTTCATATCACTTCACTACGCTCCTGAACTAGTAATGGACCCTTTTCACAAATTGGGACAAAGAAAAAGATCAAACGCATCTCACACCCCTTGTATGTTCTTATAATTAATATTTAGGCTAATTTGCGAATACTTTCAGCTAACGGTAAGTGTAATACTGTCAGCTAAAGAAAAAAGGAGAAATGTGTAGAATCTACATTATCCTGCAGACAACTAATAAATGTAATTAATTTGGCTATAAACTATATATTTGTATTTTACTATATTTATTAAAAAGAGACCTCCATCTAATAAAGTTAACACATTATCTACCAGTATTTGAAACATTAATATACAGTGTTTAACTGGTAACGCTTTACAACAAGATTTCATTTGTTAACATTACTTAACGACATTAAGAATGAAAAAAATACATCGTTAATGCTCATTTCAGGCTTTACTGATACATTATTAAATGTAATAATTATTTAATGGCTGTGTGCTAACATGAATAAACAATGCATGTATTTTTATTAACCACATAAGAATAACAAATCCTGTAACAAATGTATAGCTCATTGTTAATACTAGTTAATGCATTAACTAACAGGACCTTATTGTAAAGTGTTACTGTTTAACATATAAACAGTCAAAAATTCTGGCTGATAACACTTGAGGTTAATGACACAGCACTCAGTGATTTGATGAATGTCATCCGAGTATTCTGGCTATACAGAACGCTTGCCATCATGTGACTGTGGCTTTGACTTGGTTCATGAATATGTTGCATAACTGATATTAATATTTTGAATAACGCTGTTTATCTAGTGAGGAGAGTTATGTTGTGTTGGACTACGCCACTGTGGACAAGGTTGAGGTGGAAGAGGAACTGACAGACTCCAAACTCAATCTGAAGCTGCTGATGAATCCCAGCAGTGAGCAGATACTCGTGGCGGAAAGCAAGTAAGATACCCATGAAACCCCCGTTCATCAGCAGCGATGTTAAGGAATATTCCAGGCTCACCACAAGCATGGACTGTTTTTTAGCATAAATGATGCCCACCCTTTTTCTTCAGAAAACAGGGCAGCACGATAACTGTTAGAATAGTTTTGATGTGAAAGCAGTAATATATGTGACGTGATGTCATAATTAACCCTGTAAAGCCTGACGTATGAAATAATAGTCATAAGAATCTATCATCTTGAAATTGAACAGTTAGTGAACCTTTACGCAAAAATCTAAAAATGTTTGCATGTGTTTTTTGAAGAATCGGGCTTGTATTTATTTTCATAGACATTTTAACTGGACTTTTCTTGAAAATTATGCATGGATAATCAAGTAAACCTAGGTTGTTTCAGGTCAGTCTTGTAACATTACTAAAAATGTAAAGACTTCACAGCAAAAAGACAAGTGAATCACAGCCTGAAGGGGATGTTTTTAGAATTATACTGTTACAATAGTTAATTATACTTAAAAAGACTGGTTTAATATAACAGTAGCTGCACTGAAAAAAGGACAAATTAAATTTTGCTCCCTAATATTTTTTGTTTTTGCCTTCATTTACTTCTGTCGTAATTGATAGACTTTCTCTGATTTTGATGGATTATTGCTCTGAAATGTTTTTAGGCTGGACAGAGCTCGATGGGTCACCGCACTCCACGATGTCAAAAAAAGCGAGAGCATCGCTAATGAGGGTGAGTCTGATCCATTCAGTGTCATTTGTCAGTAAAATAGCCTTGCATTAATACTTGGTGACCACTTTTATGCTTACGTTTTAGCATGTTCTATCACTAACACTTCATTTTGTTTGGGCGTCTAAGACTTGCCTCAATATGAAGCTACTAAAGCCTATATGCCAAAAGCACCAGATGAGCTGAGCCTGCAGCAGGCGGAACTGGTCATCGTTTTACAGGAAGTGGAAGGTAAACATGGAAGCAGAAATGACGTGTCACTTCACTGCTATTCACATACCCTCTCCCATGGCTTTCTTCCAAGTTGCTTTGGATAAGAGTTTACTAAATGAATGTATGTAAATACAGAGGAATTTGGTCAATGTGCGAGTCTGTTTTGCTGTAGGCTGGTGTCATGGAGAGCGGATGAGAGATGGCGAGAGGGGCTGGTTTCCTGCCAGCTGTGCCACTCAGATCACAAACCGCACCGCCATGGAGAACAACATACAGCGTATGGAGCGACTGCGCAAGGAGACCGACGTCTGAGCAGCTCACAATACAGTGAAGAACACTTTACAGAGATACTAATGATTTTAAACAAGTGTAAGTAATGTGAATTAGAACACTTTCTACAGACCTCATGAACTGTTAGTTCACAGCAAACACCACTCATACTAGAGGAACTGTTTCTGGTTTTATTTCAGCTTGCCTTTGTTAAAATTCATGTTTGGATACATAAAAAGTTTTTTAAAAATGTCAACTGACCAGATATCAAATTACTTTTAAAAACCATTGTGTATAAACTTAAGACTGATTTAGAAAAACATCTGCTGTTTCCCCAAAATTTTTAGCTGTCACATAAAAATAATGGAAAAAGAAAACAGGTCTGCATAGAGTCTGCAGGCAATTGGTGGCAATCTGGTCGAAATGCATTTTCGCAAGCTTAGACGATCGAAGTCATATCTTTCTTATTGCTCAGATCTTGGATGGTTCTGCTTGACAAAACTGCGAATGCAAACAAACAAACAAAGAGGTTAGCATGTTTAAAACAACCTCTGAAATCATAAGCACAACAGTGTGCCAGACTGTCTGCTAAATCAAATCCACAGCATTATTAGCCTTTCATCAATGAAAAATGCCAACTGAAGTGGAAACATCCATTATCTACAGTCAATCCCCTCCCATTCTACTGCCACAATTATGTGCTGATGAAACACCACAATTCAAATATAAAGCAAACTTCACAAAAATATCCAAGTCATGGCTCATTCTAAAGTTAATTTAAAAAAAAAAAAGTTTATTTAGGAACGTTACAAATGTTAAATTCTGTTATAGAGCATTTGACAATTATGCACAGTAAATACACAATACATTTTGTAATCGGCAGAAGAAAAAAAAAAAACACCAGGATGTATACATACTTTTAAAATTATTTTACACAATGAGAATTCAAGGCCAAACATGCTTAATTATGAAAACAATGGCAACGCAAAATAAGTCTTAATGCTTCAACAAATAGGTTTTATTTTGTTAAATCAAGAAATAAATCACATTCTATAACATTTTGATTTTGGGGTGAAATGTGACCTGGACATGTTCCCAAAAAAACAAAAACAAAGAAAATACCTACAGGATGGACTCATGAATGGTTCACTAAGAAAGCACGCCAGTGTCAAAAACCCAACATACTTGAAAAAGTACATTCATTCACATGCAATGACAGCAGCACCCACCCGGCCAGATGGTCTAGATGTTCAAGCCGGTGGCGGTTAATCTGCTCCACCCTGTTCGGCTTCGGGAGCGGCTGATTTGTCGGCTGATGCGTCAGCTGCCTTGCTATCCTTGCCGTCCTGAGGCTTGGTTGTCTGGGGCCGTCTGCGGCGGTAGTTGAAGTTGCGGCGGTAGCGGCGCTGACGGGGCTCCTGGTTCTGCCCACCCTCACCCTGGTTCTCCTTATCATCCTCCTCGCCTTCCCGCACCGGCCGGGGGCGTGGGGGACCCCTGCTAGATACGAAATAATGCACTTACACACAAAGCTTAAAAGAGCCAACAAATCTAAAGGCTCATATAAAATACACTGCTCAAAATAGGAAGATGCTCTAGAGAATCCATCAGGGTCAAGTTCTCAGAGGAACATCAAGCAATGAACTATGAATAAAAAAAAAATCATGCGGTTTCATCAGATGCACGAGCCTGGCCCAAAGTTAACTTCCAGTCTATGTTTGTTTATCGGTCTGGCCAGTAGCTAGTAATGGCACCAACTACAAACGCAGTTAAAGCTAAAAGCAAGACAAAAGGTGTGTTTGTAAAGTACCGTTAGAGAGATTTGAACGCATAAGGAGACATCCGCTCTCTAAAGCTCTCACGGTACTTTGAGGTCACACACTGATCAGTCTGCGCAGCGCTGCTTCAAGTTGAACTCACCTAGTGTTTTAACTTGCTAGCTAATGTAATTTGCATTATTTATTTTTCTTATCAGAAATAATCTACTCTAGAGGGACTCTGTTGTTAGTGATTGATTCTATGCGGAAGTCTACCATAAGTTAAGTCTGAGCCACAAAAGCATGCATCAGTTACACAAAATGCTGTTATTACCAAAACAATTTAATACGCAAAATGCCATGCAGACCTGAGCAAATATTCAACAACTACATTTGTTACTGAAATTTAAATCAGAAATTTAAATCAGACTTCTTGTTTTCATACATACTCATGAGTTCAGATATACATGTATGTAAAACGACAGTATTTAGGACAAGGTTCCTCAAAAGTATTTAGGACAAAACCTCAAACCCCGATCAGTCTCACCTACCTGAAGTTTTCCAGTAACTCTGAAGACCCTGATTAGCTTCCTTAGGTCTATTTGATTAGGGTTGGAGCTTAACTTTGCAGGGCAGTGGCCTTCCAGGGCCAGATTTAAGGGACCCTTCATTTAGGAGATTTAATAGCCAAACCAAGTAGTATTCACAATATTGCCCAATTTTAATTTCAACAATTTCAAATACTGTGAATATTTGAAATATCGTTTGGCTCTAACTGCAGTCTTGCTCATCTTACTGCTGCACAGGGCTGTGTATCACCAGCAACGTCACGATACAGGACTGCACAGATGTTTTACTAAATTCTGCTGAGGTAAAATTCAGTTTATTAAACACTGCATACTATAGTGCCATTTCTAAATATTGGCAGAGCAGGCAGCTGACCTCTGCATTATGAAGGGCCTCCAGAACTGTACCACAGTACAATATAGGTAATAGCATATGTTTCATGTTTACATTGGGCACTCCCCACCAGGTACAATATTCTGATTGTTTGCATCTTGTTTTTAAGCCCACAAATAATAATGTACTTGTTCTAATAAATTTATATTATAAATGTACTCATTCATATATATATATATATAAAAATCATATTTACATTGTGTTAATTTGTGCAATGATAACCTACCAGCACTCTCTACCTGCTGAAATATCTGCTTAGCAGATATTTCCGTATTGCGCAAGTGGGAAGCTCTGTTTCGGGGATACATCTCTTTATATCAGGCAACCCAGTTGTGTTCCTCTGCGGCCAGATTAAACCTTGTTGTAGCCTATATATTATGCTCCATTCATAATTTTTTTAGAAAACTCGCACTTTTCTACTCAATTTGAATACAAGAACACAGTTTAAAAAGAAGCGCGGTCCACTGCTGCACACGTGCCACAATATCGATACAGGGCCAGCTGTATCGATACGCGTATCATCAAATCTCTGTGACGATACATTGTCGTATTGATGTATCGAACACAGCACTACTGCTGCAGCCTCACGTCTGCAAATACAACATGCAAACCTGGGTCTGAACCTTGGTCGGAAGCCTCTGTAGTAGTTCTGCCTCATTGGTTTGTTGCCCTGGTCTGGACCACCTTGGTTCTCATCACCTTCCCCACCCTAGAAGTCAAGAAGAGCATGTCTCAGGCAAAAAAGCTTCTAACAACATTCATTTCGAAACACTATATAATGTAATATTCAATTCATGGATTCAGATTTTAGCCTACCTCTGCCATTTCTCCTCTCTGGGGTGTGTTGGTGTATGGGGGGCGTCTGCCGTAACGCCTTTGCACGAAGTATGGCGGGTAGCGCCGTCTGCCGGGGTAGGTGGGCCTACGCTGCTGTTGCTGCATCTCACCCTCGGGGGCGCTTTCTTCCTCTTCTCTCTTCTCCCGTGACTCTCCGTCGCTCTGATAGTTCTCCTGGTAGTCGCGAGGGGGGGCCCTCCTGCGTGGGAACCGCCTATATCGGTTCCTGTCAGCCGCATACTTACTGCCCTGCACAGGAACGCCACCCGGGCCAGTAACATTGGCTGCCTCGGCACCCTGAAAGAATGAAGACAACATGTATATCAAATGTCTCCTAATTCAATAGACAGATTTAGTTTGGATAATGGATGCAGAATGGAGAAATTTCCTGGAAGTCATTTTGAAAAGGCTGCGGTACAGTAGTCTGGGCAGAAATTTGATATTTAATCAATATCTCGTTAATACAGTTTATGTAAGCAATTTAACTATTTTTACCCTGGATCCACTAGTGTTGTGCCGATAGACAATAGTATTGTGTATCGACGATAGAGATATTGCCTGTGGCTGACACCTTTGACAATAGCAAGACGATTATTATTATTATTATCATCATCAGGCTAGTAATACTAATTAATATTAGGGATTATTTGTTCCATCATTTCTTTTTCCACGTTTTTACAGTGCTGCGCGTTATAACCAATCACACTCGATTCCGTTGACTTTATGAATGCAATGGCCAATCAGAGGCATTCAGATGAGTCATTTATCTCATCATAAACAGTAGATGCAAGTATAAGGGATTTATTCATCAAAGTGTAGACAGCTTCACTGATTATAACGGGAGTGTTTTTAAATTGCATATACTTGTGCTAGACTGAAGTAACTGATTATGTTTTTTGGTAATGTAAATGTTCTTAGTTATTCAAACAGCAGCTACAGAAGAAGAGCAGAGGAATTGTAAGCTTTATAATTAGTAAATTACATTGTTTCTATTAAATGATCATGTTAAATACAAATTCAGTCATTAAAAACATTAGGCTGCTTTTAGCCTTACGCTGGAGTTGGTTCACTTTCTGGCAATGAAACCAAGTAAAATATTAAATATTTGAATAAATTAGCATGATAATATGTATCGGCGATCTCACAGGCAGACAATATAGATATGACAATTGAGCATATCGCCCAACACTAGTATCCACTAAGGTTTTAAAGGGGTCATATGACGTTGCTAAAAAGAACATTATGTTGTGTATTTGGTGTAATGCAATGTTTATGCAGTTTAAGGTTAAAAAAAAAAAAAAAACATTTCCACATAATGTACATAATTGTTGCTCCTCTATGCCCCGCCTTTCTGAAACGCAGCGATTTTTACAAAGCTCATCGGTCTGAAAATCGAGGTGTGCTCTGATTGGCCAGCTATCCAGTGCGTTGATTGGCCGAATACCTCAAGCGTGTGACAGAAATGTTACACCCCTTACCATATTGTGATGCCGTGTCCCAGAGCGACGAGACAAAACCAATAAAACCCATTATAAACGAGGCATTTGTTGCATCCAGTGGGGACATAATTACTTATTATAATGACTTACACGGTCTTTTTACGCGTTGCGTATCGCGCCGCGTAAACAAACCCAATGTCTGCATTTGTGATCGGAGAAACGACAAACAACAAGCGCTACTCTACACTGCTCAAAATTCGCGTTTGAATAGTCAGTGGCAAATCCTTTAAACATAAAAAAAAAAAAAACACTTACAAAGTGTCCTTGCAAAGTTGGAACTACCCCACTGTATAGAAACAGCCTTCGTGCACA